TTTCACCTTTTGAGTTGCCATACTGACATAAATGAACATTTGCACAATATTCTAATTTTTCAAGTTTCACCTGTAGTTTGCTTGTCCTTTTCCAACCAAGCTACTAGTTGACAGCCCTTAATTTGAATTATCATTAGCAAAAAGAATGAAAACATCATCACAAACTAAGACGTATAAGTGCTTTTGAAAACTTTACCTCTTGCGTTTCCTTTGATATCTTTTTTTTTTTTTAAGCTGTATGTCATAATGGAGATTCCACTCTTTTCTCAGTCCTTCCAGCATTTTCCCAGAACATTTTGGAAGGAATCCAGAAATTAAGAAGTTGCTATGAGCCACAATCCTGTTTCTCAGTTTCTGAACCACATACATTTAGTGCCCAAAAAGTTTGCCATCTGCCTCACTAAAGCTGGCCTTTCCTGAATCATGTGCAATTGCTTCTTTGCCCTTTTAGGATCTCCATGTTCCAGAACACAACTGCAAACTGCAAGATGAGCCCAGCAGTATCCCTTATTTCAGGGAATTTGGTGAATCTTTTTAGAAACAAAAGCCCCACCCCCACTCCTCTAATTAGACTGCAGCTTCCCTAACACCACATACAATCTGCTCCCTGAAGAAAAATTGTAGTTTTGGCCTTTACTAAACAGTGACCGTGTTTCCCCAAAGTGATGCAACAGATCCTCGTATAGATGGAGACTGTAGCTCTTCTCATTCTAAATTACATCCCTCATTCTCATTAGACTCCCTGATAACGTTATCGTCTTAGAGCTGACGGACAGCCTTTCTCTTGCCATCCCAACCCTGTGCTGCCCATCAAATTCCAAAGGAAGCATGAAGAAGGAAGCAACCACTTACCAGGCATCTGGGGTTTTCCTGGCAAACATGGGCTGAGCCGTCCCACTCGCTCGTGTGATACCAGCCGGGCCAATCTCAGCCCTTCATCCATCAGAGTCTGCTGCAGAATGTGACGGCTCCATAGCCCTTGGGGTGGGAGGCTCAGCAGTGCATCAGAAGCTGTGTTGGGGGGTGGCGTAAGCCGGGGACAGGATCCGGTAGCTGTGGAGAAAGAGAATCAGGAGGGGAAGGAAATGCTTTTAAGTAAAACAGATTAAATCAGCAGTATACTGCTCTCAAATAATCTGTCCTGAGCTTCAGATAACTAGAATAAACCCAAAAGTAACAGGGAAGACCTGGTTCCCAATGCTCTATTCCACTCTGGAGCGATTGAAAAAAAATGTTGAGTTGAACTTAAAGGCCAGAGAGAGGAGGAAGGCGGATTGCGATTCCACAAGTATCCCTCTCACCCCACGTGTACTACCACCCCACTTCCCCAGAGAAAATGCAACACCTTTTCCTAGATGGTCAGTTAGGGAGGGGAAGGATGACTCTACAAAAACTAAAGAAGGAGGTGAAGCTTACAGAATATGGGTTTTCCATAAAGGTTTATCAACCTTACCTAGAAAAGCGAAGATGTATTATTTTAATCCAGTGTTTCTCAACCTTGGCAACTTTAAGATGTGTGGACTTCAACTCCCAGAATTCCCTAGCCAACATGCTGGCTAAGGAATTCTGGGAGTTGAAGTCCACACATTTTAGAGTTGCCACAGTTGAGAAACACTGCTCTAAGCATACTCCAAAGGCACCTTACTGTTTATGTCACATCTATTTCATCCTGAGCCTGTGGCAGAAACAGCCTGAAGCTGTCTTGAGTTGGTACACTGTTAAAGTGCTATTTTACCTCTTCCCCCAACACAAATCTTGTCCTAAGAACCAGGGCCAGATTGAGGCCAACTGATGCCCTAAGTACAGCCCAACAATGGTGCCCCGCGGCCCTTCCACTGCTTAACTGACGAAACATTAAGACTCAATAAGTACTGAAAACTAAAGTGGAGTGTGGCAGTGAAAGAATTAAGGGTATGAGAGCTAGGGGAAAAAACACTGCCCCCCCTTCCCTTGGTGCCCTCGGCAGGTGCTTATTTTGCCTAATGGTTAATCCAGGGCTGCTAAGAACTATCTCTCACACCTCAGGCTAGTGATAATGTGGTTGGGAGCAAGGATCAGCCCAGCTGCTGTTGGCCACTTAAGCCTGCTGCAGGCAGATTCATTGATATTCCTGTGAAAAATCAAACCACCAAGGAAAATAGTTGCGCTTCCAAGTAGTGGGATGTGCTGAGGCAGGTTGAGAAAACCTCTTCCTCGGCTCACCAACACATTCCCTACCTGCCCCCACAGAAGGTTTGGGAAATATCAGTCTCTCAGGAGATCAATAATCTTATTAGAATAATTACAGTAATATTACTTCTTATTTTTCCATTGACTTCCATGGAGTGTTTAAGAGAGCAGGAGGAAGCAGAACTGGATGCCCGAATAGCACAACTCTGTAGTTGTGTTTCTTGTGGAAGAGACTAAGTCTTACGGTATTTTTTTTTTCTTTATACTGGCCAGTGGGGTGTGTGTAGAGTGCAGGATGACACTGGTTGGAGTGTCTCCCCACTTTATGGACAGCAACTGGTGGTTGTTTTTTCTGCCAGTAGATGACCCTGGGTTGGAGGACAAAGGAAGTCAGGGACTCTGCCATAACTATCCTGAAATAGTTCCAAATTACATCTTTTAAGGCCACAACACTGCCCTGCCAAGTTGTCAGACTTGGTTGCGGCTACAGTGCAATTTGTATCAACATATGTTTCTGCTGACTCAAGGATGGGAGGAATGCATGTTAACACAACTGAGAGGAAGAGCCTGCTGTCTTCACATTGTCTGGCCCCTGAAGCCATGATTTACTCAACCAATGCTGACTGACAAACTATAGATGCATTCAAACATGCTAGTCCATAAACCATGGTCTACAGACCTATTGCCAAAATTCACACAATATATCCGACTATAAGATAACATACTTCTTTTTGATTCACACATATAAAACTCAGCAGAAAATCTCAGAGTATGGGAGTTGCAAGGCAGGGTCAAACCATCAGTGTCTTGAAACTTGCAATCTGTTTTGTTTGGGAGTTGCTCTTCAGGATCTCCTATTAGCCAAGATGACTGACACATGAACCAGAGGCCTTGTGCATGGCATCATATGTAATCTACCAAAGAGCTGGACATGCCCATCCTTAGAATATTTGGAAATGAGGCCTATCAAATTCTGAATGAGCAGGAGATCAAAACTGAGACGTGTATGGATATACTTAACATAATACTGTACACATTTCTGAAAGTCCTAGAGGAGGGAGAATATGAGAAATATCACCAAAATATATGTTTAAACTAGTTTTAAAACTACCTGAACTGGTGCAGATTCCTCACTTAGTCCCTGGGATTGCTAGATTTTTGTTTAACTGGGGAGAATTCTGAGCCAATGATCTGCAGTCTTCCCCAAAAATATAATTCCCTGTAACTGCTAAGCTAGTTTAGTTAAGGCACATATACTTAAAGAGTAGAATTTGATACTGAAATTAAAAACAAATGTACTTGTATTATTTGAAAGAGATGAGTGTGTGGGTGTGTGTGCAGGTTTGCAGGAGAAAGGAAGCTTGTTTCAGTACACTCATCATTTTAAACTATCATGTGGTTTGTTTGGTTTTGGTTTCTGGAATGTGTGAACCCAGTCGTTCTGATTTGTAGACTATGATTCATGGCTTAGCATGCCGTACAAACCTAGCCAATAATGGTTTCTTCAACAAAGCAAATGAAGTTAACAGTACTTTAGCTTATGTCAAGATCAGACAGCAAGCAAGACAATGTGAAAGATGGGAGGGAACTGACATAGTAAACTGTACAAACTTCATCTCTTATTCAACCAACTTGTAATTAGAGTTAAAGCAATGCACATGGGATAAAATGTGATTCCAAATTCCACACAAGGCTGAGCACTTTCCTTGCTCTTGCAAAGAGCGTGCAAACTGGTGCATCAGAGACACTATTCCAGGGACAAGATGGGTTCTATGAATGGGAATGACAACACTTTGTGTGAACCCTAACAAGAAACAAATCCTCTTTTGTAGCTCTCGCTTCACACTCTAATTCCCTAGTTGCTTCCTTAGAGCCCAGAGCACTCACCTTGCGAATGTCCGTCTAAGCTTTCCCCAGACAAGCTGGCCGTGTCTTCCTCTGTGCTGGATCGGTAGGGAGGAAGGAAGGGTTCACAGACCAAGGGAAGCTCAGGGCGGCTGTGCTCTGCAACCTGCTGGGGGAATTGCCAGAAAAGATAAGAGGAAAGCTGCCAATTTCATCTTTTCCACTAGAGCTGTGAACTTCAACACTGAAAAGTGCTTTCATTTATATTTATATTTATTATATAAATATATATTTATATTTAAAGCAAGCAATAAATATGACATTAAATATTGCATTAACTTGCAGAAAATATAATCTTGGAATAACCTGAAATGTATGGCAAGTGTTATACATGCAAGATTTTAAATCTTGAATTATCAGCCAGTTGGCTTGCCTGGAATCATGTTGTATATGGATTAGCATGACATTTCCTCCTGCACTTACAGTACTTGCACTGGTATTAAATTCCATTTCATCCTTCTAGTTATGAATGATAGGGGTGGGGTAGGAATTTGATAAAAATATCATGGAGACTTCTTTTTTGGAGCTTGGAACTTCAAAAAAGGATTTTGGCTGGAGTTCAGCACACAAGGAAATGGTTAACCTTCATCTCTCTAGTCTGCTCCCTACTAATCTGCCTACTCCCCATCAAGACCAGTATGTAATTATTTTTAAATGTCTCCATTAAAGAGGACCCTCGATTTCCTGAAGCGGCAAGAGGTACATCCTGTTCCCCAATCCTTAAAATCCACTCTTCCCCTCTGCAACTTGCTATGGAGCATGCTTGAGGGTTTTGATGATCAGGTAGAAATTGGCAGAAGGTACGCCTGTCTCATTCAATAGGACAACGGAGGACTGAATAATCTTTGCATGTCGACCTGCATGGTAGAAAATTGTCTGAACAGCATGAGAGGGAGCCCTCATTAGATGGGTGAGCTTCATGGAGAAGAGCAGTTGGGTTAAACTATGTCTACCCATTTCTACAGGTGAAAGGCATGGAAAGACATAGCTTCTTGAAGCTATTCGACTACAAGTCCCATCATCCCCAACATGGTCAGCGGTAAAGAAAAATCAAACCTGTAGCTTGTCAACATCTGGAAAGCCACTGCTTCTCCACTCCTGATGTATATTTTTATGGTATTTTCTTTGGTAACTCAAAGCATATCTTTTATCTTTTTTTCTCTTGTGTGTACACATACAGCTTATCTTTTCCACTTACCTCCTGCTTGAGGCGCTTAGCTTGTCCACTACAGTTTTCATCTGGACGCAGTCTGAGGACAAAAGTCATAAAGGAGTCAGCATGCCCAACTGGGTATTATATCCAGGAAATCACTTCTAGCCTAGTCACAGAATTATCCATGCAATGGTCCACATGTTCTGGACTATACTGGTCTAGGACATGTGCCTGTGCCAATTTAGCATTTACAGAAATTTGCAGCCTGGCTGGATGCTGGAATGAATATAATTTAATGGCCTGGTATAAAGAGATAAAATATTCATGACATCATAGAGGCTAACTATCTTTTGTTAGGGTTGCATTAAATAAGGCTTAATACCAGTTGAGTTTAATATGTTAAACCAAGATTTTCCCAACCAGTTTGCTAAGCAGGCCATAATGAACCAATCTACATACAAAGCTTAGCAATAATGGCTAGTTCTGTTGCACTAAGCTATATTTTTGTTCATCATGGTCTCTTTGATTTGGCCTAACTGGATAGGTTCACTCACCACACTGAACCATAACACATGGTTCACAAGCTGTAATGGTTGAATATACACATTAAAGCAGTGCTTCCCAAATTTTTTCCTTCATTACCCAAAGCCGCTTATCAGAAAGTCCTTTTTGCCCAATGTAGGTAAAACCCTAACTGCACAGAAAAACATATATGACAAGTGAAGAGAGACTGGTAAAAAATAGGAAGCAAACAATAAGTTTGATGCAATGGCTTTATTTTAAACCTCTCTAAACATTTTAGCAGCCACAAAAAAATGGGTAAATATTCACCATGAATATTCCATCACCCGGGTCCCGGCTACCGAGAAAAGTGCCGCTGCTCCATCTCGTTTACTGTTCCGCAACACTGGGAGCAATTGGAGACAGAGCACGCCTCACATTGTATTCGGGGTTCAGCAAACAGTTTTGTGTTGTGTTCTTTAGGAAGGCAAGAGGGGAAAATCCTACTTCACCCATGGAGGTGCTTGGAAACGGCAATAATTGCATCACGGCCTCCCCAGCTACCACAGGATATCCATCGTGAATTGTTAACCAGAAAGACTCCAAACGGTCCTTCTTTTCTTCAAATAACATTTTGCACTGACTGCTTGACCTAAGCTCGGTCATTTGCTCTGCAAAACCATGAACGCTATCGAGATTTCAGTCAAGTCACACAGAAATGGGTTTACAATCCGCTGATAGATACAGGCCTTTCTAGTTCAGGAAAGTGTTCCTGAAATGCACAGATAGTTTTGTTAAGTGGGTGATCACGTCATCCTTGACGTCACTGAAATCAACCCCACTGGCATCCTCCAAGAACAAAGAGCGGGTGGGGAAGGATGCAATTTTATGTTGCTCTGCCTTTTTTAGCCAATACTTGAGCTTTTCTTGAAACGCTGTCATTTTTCTCACTTGCAGAAATCCTATTTTCCTTTTCTCCTTGAAGTTGCAGATTAAGTGCATTTATGTGGGAGAAAATATCAACTAAATAACTAAGCTGAACTAACCAATTCTTGTTGGAAATTCTTTAAATGAGAACGTGCTTCTTTTCAACGAAAAGCATCTCAATTTCAGTCCTCAGCTCCCAGAAGCGATTCAGAACATTCCCTCTTGACAGCCAACAATTCTCCATGCAGAAAACAAGGTTCTTAAGTAACAAATCAGTTTCGGAACACAAGGATCTGAAGAGCCTTGTGTTTAAGCGCCTGCCTTGATGAAGTTCACTATGGCAATCACATTTTTCATGACTTCCTCTAAACCAGGAACAAGACCTTTGACGGCCAGAGCTGATGAATCATACCATGTGTTGACAGAATTTTTGGGCTGTATTGCCTTGCAAGAGCTATAAAGCCTGAATGCAGACCCAACTTTGAGGGAGCACCATCACTGTTCATTCCCACACAGCTTGCAAAGCAGAAGATCTTGTTCAGTCATGGTTTCAAACTTATAATGGACGTAGACCATCAACTGTGAGTCATTGGAGACATCTGTGGTTTCATCCAGTTGAATAGCAAACCTACCACTCCAATTAATATGGGAAATAAGTTCTGCCTTTATGTCTCCAGCAATGATTTCAATTTGGTATTATCTGACAATGGCAATACTGCCACTTTTTGTGCCTGGTCAGACCCACATATGATTTCATTGATGCAAATAGCAGCTGGCTGGATGAGCGTTTCCCCTATTCAATGGGTTCGTGTGTCGTTACCCAAAGAAAAACCACTTTTACCCAATTTTGGGTAATTTACCTAGGTTTGGGAAACACTGCATTAAAGTATATAAAAAACAAATAAAGCACATTACTGTTTCTCATGATGTGTAAAATAAGCCCTTGTTTTAAACATAAGAAACATAAGAATCTCATCATATGAGATATGGTCTTATATGATGAGAATGTGTTTTAGTTAGTCTTGGGCTCAGATTCTCCACCTTGTGTCCCAACATTCACGTTTATGAGAAAATCCAACCTTTCTCTACAGAACTAATTGCAGTGTCACATGGTTGCTGAAATCAGGACACTGTGATTTATTCCAACCATGTTACTCAAAAAGGTGTCAAGGTACAATTTCATATCCTCATTTGATAAGTTAAGTGATCATAGTTGGCACAAATCCTAGTTCCTGATTTGCAGTTGTAAAAGGGAACAATGATTAGTTCAAAAGTCAAAGCAGAAACTTTTTAATTCACTTTTTAAAACATCAGAATAAAAATGCATCATAGGAAAGACACCGCGGATCAAAATAAACATGTACAAATTCTAGGCCCCAAATTTCAGCTCTAACAGGTGGTTTCAAAAAGTGAAAACAGAAGTTTTTGATCTCTTCTTCACACACATGAAGCTGGGGATGAAAATATGATAAACCAAGGCTCCCGCAGGATTATTCCTATAATGCTTAATTATGGTTTCCTGTTTTCTTTAAACCAATTACAAAGACAAAGAAGTAGCACATTAACAATACAAGGTCTGTTTTCTGAATGCCTGAGATACTCTTGGGATAAATGTATATAGGAAATTAGCATCAGTGGGGAGATAATTAACATAGGTGGACAAGTCTTAGTTTAGCTCCAGCTCAGCAGAGATCAGTTTGTACCAATATTCAGCAAGTTTCACATCTAGCACGTATTTTTGACAGCATGCTCAATAATATAGGAATCAAGGCCAGATGGAATACAAGCAAAATGCTTTTTTGTCTGTTTCTTTGGGGCCCTTTCCCTACAACACAATTAACTAGGACAATGAGGAGGGTTTAGAATGTTGTGAAAATAACAAAAATGGGTCAAATGACCCATTCATCTATTCATCACACATACACATACAATCAAGCTGGATTTAGACCTAAACAGATTCTGTCATGTATAGAGTTAAATGGACTCTACCCAGGCCCTGTGTTGTGAGAATTACTACCTATGGTATTAACCATTGTTTCTCTTGAGATCAAGATCAAATTCTAGGGGCATCATGAAAATATCTCCAAGGGACCTCTCCGTGTTTTGTGTTGTTGCTTGTTTGTTTTACCATGCACTCTGCACTCACACAAGAAGGTGAAAGATTAGAAGAAATGGGAGGTGGATAAGTTTCCTTTGCATCAGTTTGTAGTGTCACTGGTACAATTATACAACTTTTTAATTTTTTTTTTTCCCCCTCCAGGGAAAGAAGGAAAGGGGGAAATGGGGTGGGAAGTGACAGCATTTTCATCTTCTTTGCAGTAGTAGGAGCACTGCACCAACCCAAGCTCTGCCACTGCAAACTGTGCACTGCCAGCACATGATGGTGACTGGACAGAGCGGGAGAGGAGACGATTGGATTTGTGTTGGGGGATGGGGTAGTTGCTTCGTTTACACAAAATGCTTAATCAAGAGGGGTGAAGACCTGAAAGATACAGTGTTCTTTCCTGGCTTAACATGCTAATTGAACCCAGCCTGTTCAGAATATTTCTGTTTCAATGTATTGGGCAAACTTAGAAAATGATTAGTTCAGTAACTAAGTTAAACATGTTGTATGAATGCCGTCAGTAACTGGAGATAATTTTCACCTATCATAAATTAGGGAGCAGGTCTTTAAATCAGGTCACATGTTAAAATATTTCTGAATCTTGACCCCTTTTGAAGAAACTAAGTTTCTTCAAGCAATCTGAAAGGGATAGTTATGAAAATATGATTAGAAGCAATAGCAATTTATTCTGCCTACTGAGAATTTTCCCAGCAAGTTCACAAGCATTCAAGAGATTACAGTCTCGTTTGAGAACCCCCCATCACTAACAAAACCACAAAAATCTGAGTCTTACCTAGAACCTTTAAGCGAAGATAGGTAGCTGCTCTCCCGAGCCACCTGTCGTGACAGCGAGAACAATTCCACACGACGCAATAGCAATGAATTGTCCCGCAGACAGAACTGGGCAGCAGCCTCATTAATTGTGAGCTGGGAGAAAAGAGTGAACAGAATGATTCTCTGAGAAAGCACACAGGATCTTAAAGAATATTACTCCCCAAGCATCTCAGTTTCTGACAGCATGGACCAGTAAATAAGCTTTCAGGAAATGCAGAGATCATTCAATTAAACGAACACTCCCTTCCTATATGTTTCAGCTTTTTTGGCAAAAAAGATGATGATTATAGCTTCGTTTGAGAATGACCATCTCCTTCATTTTTAAAGTTGTTTTAAAACTAAATTTGTATCAAAATGTAATTCAACATTAAGTATTTATTTATCACTTGGATTATTTTATGTACCCTATGTCTGAGTATAAAAAGAAAAGGGATGAATAGATCACCAGCCCAATGAAATCTCATTTTTAGTTATCATATTTTCTATTACATTTATGACAGCATATATTATCCTACATATTAATTTTAGTTCACCATATATTATTTTCAATATTAATGTTAATCATAATTTTTGGTAGTTCTTTGTACATTTTAGTCCCATGAGGATTTATAGTTGTACACTATACATTTAATGTTTTAGTAATCCTGCTCAAAGTTTGTATGTACAGACTGTTGCAATGGGAAGAATCACAATCCCCTAGTTTTAAATATTATTTTATGCTAGTCTTGGACTGAAAAAAATCTTTAATTTGAATTCTTCCTATTTGCATTTTTTGTTTGGGTTGCCTGTATGAGATATGAGATGAGATGAGATGCATTACATTGCATGTAGATTCACAGTCGGTAACTGCATTTGAAGCCTGTTCATTATTATTAGCAGTTTTCTGAATGTTAGTATTTACATTCCTACTTGTATCATTACTAATAGATGACATGAACCATTTTTTAACCAATGATCCATTTTCGTGAACCAGGCACTGGCACTGAACACAGAGAAGCTGGGGCTGAGGCACCGAGCAGGTTCTGGCCTGGCCAGTGAACATGAGAAGGCGAGTCTCCACAGACCATTGATGGTTTGTAGACTGCAATTTGAGAATTATGGATGTTTAAAGTAATAGCATAGCCTTTGAGGTGTTTGGGAAATTCTGGCATGGAAATAAAAAAGGGGAGGGGGGAGGGAGAAGAAAATGCTATAAAGTACACTGTTAGCTCAGCTTTGTCACGTTAGTTGGAATAGTTCAACAATGATTTAGGGCAGAAGTTCTGGTCTAGGATAAGATAGAGGAGGCCACTTTTAAAAAGTAACTCTCAGGGAATCAGAGGATATTCCTGTTAGTGAGTGAAAGACTGGAAGGATTCATACTTTGCAGTTAGTCTCTAAGGTCCTACTTCTCAGTTCTTCAGCCAGAATACTGAAGTTGGCGGTCCCATCACTGTGGAACTCTATTTCCATAGAAGCTTTCAGACATTGTTTAAGATTAATTCTGTATCATTTTAAAACAATTCTACTGCCTTCATTTTATAGGATAATACAGAGGACTACACCAGTAAAGCTTCCTTTGAGTTAAGCTCAGTTCTCAGTGATTACTTGGACACATCCACTCAGTTTTCTTCATTCCATATAGGAATGAGTTGCCTTCTCTCAAGATTTTTTTTAGCTTCTCAAGTCTAGCCTACTCCCCTGGTATATCCTGAGGTCCCCCATCCAAGTGGTAAACATGTCTGCCCTTGCTTAGCTTCCCATTACAGATAAGGTCAGCCAGATGCTGCCCCCAAAAGACTGTACAGATCATCATCATCAATATTTGATATTCTTTAAGCTGCCAAACATATTGAATAGTTTAACTAAGTAAATGACATTCCTGAGTTTGTTATGGTTGACCAGTATAGCTTCCCTTGGCTCACCTCATGAAGGGTGAGCTGCTTGCCCTCACATCGCCGAGTTTCACCCCGTCCGTAGATGGCACTGTGACGCCGGATTTCTTCTTCTTTCCGAGGGTCCCCGTTGTCCATCTGGAAGATATGCCCCACTGTTTTGGCCAGCTTCTTATTCAGCTTCAGGAGGGTCTTCAACTCCATATCTCCACTGCGAGGGCAGCTGCGCAGCAGACGATCCACCCCCTCAGACACTGCATGGGCCAGCTCTGGATCGAGATGCTCAGAGGATGAAGGGGGCTCGCTGGGTGAGGTCACCCCCCCTTCTTCTTCAGACTCGGGGTTGCCCCAGTGCATGGCTGGCAAGGGGGACAGCTTCTCTCGTGACTCGGAGGGGCTCTTGGCAGGGGACGTGGCACTGGTTTTGCCAGGGATCTCTCCTGGACTGGTGTGCCCATTGGTGAGTGATTTGCGGCCTCCGGTCTCGGAGATCTTGAAGAGCGGTATGCTGCTTACAGGTATGGAGGGCACCGGCTGGTTAAAGAGACCGGGATTGGTTGCCCACTCCCGCAGGGCCTTCTGGAGGCGCCGGACATGGAGGGGCTTGGTCGCCATGCCAACCAGAGCCATGATCTCCAGGAACTCTTCCTCACCTGCCTCGCACAGTTGCTGCACATCATCGCCGCCCTGCTGGATGAAGGTCTCGTAGTAGGAGAGGAGGTTGGCTCTCTGGAGGACACGGTAGAGCTGGAGTTCGCCCAGGGTGCGTGGCAGCAATAGTGCCATTGCCAGTTGCCTGCAGGGGTGACAGAGTGAGACCATGAAGGCAGAAGCGGTGGCTGTAATGGAAGGAGGGCAGTGTCCCTCTCTGTTCTCCACGGTCCAGGCAGAAGAAAGAAGACACGCTACAGAGGGGAGAAAATGCAAAGTACTTCTTGTGCACTAAGTTTGCAAGTTTAAGTTAGCATGTGCTATCAGAGTCACGAATTAAGGGGCTCTCCTTTTTCTTGTGTATCATTATGTCCTCATTCACATAGGAAAAATGGCTTGATGGGTGTAAGCAGATGATGTGCACTGAGGTTTTCCTTCCAGCAACAGTCTTTCTTTGGGTGAACCAGTCCCGAATCTGGCTGAAGGGGTCTAATCCAGACCAGGAGTCTTCTGAGGTTCTACTACAATAAACAGGTATGGCCTTCTACACAGTCTCCTAAGTGCACCATACCTCATATATTCCCTGCTCCATAACTTCTTACATCACTGCCATCTTCCTAGGGCAAATAAGGCCCAAGCCTTTTCCTTTCTCTCTCCTCCATGCTAGCAGCACTACCCTCCCCCCACTTTCTTGGAATAAAGTCCCACTGTGCTCAATGGGGCGTGCTTCTTATTAAGTGTATTTTCAGACCACTGCTGAAACTTCAATTGCTCTTTAAGATCCTGCTTTTTTTTTTTTTTTTGCTAACAGGAGAATTTGATCTTGCGCTACAATTCACTGGGGATACACATTGTCCATCCATCCCACACTGCAACTCCAAGCTCTAATACATCTGTCTTGCCATCAGATGAAAGCTCTTGTCCTCCATTTCAGGTTTCTTCCTCTGCACTATGAGGATTTTCTCTTTACTAGAACTCTTCAAGTATAGTAAACTACCCTAACTTACAATTACAGCCCTCCATGCATAAAAGTCTTTGTCTTTGCACTACCAGCCTGATCAGCACTACAGTCAACCCTTCTTTGAAAACCCAATGTGGTATCTTCAGCTGCATAATACACATGCATGCACACACAAAATCTAGATTTTCTGTACAAACCAGAAACATTCCACATGCTCCTCTTGCTGGGCCAGGTAACCAACATGCACACACATAGCAGACTCCTCCGAATGCCCACTGCTTGTTCCTTTTTTATCCACCCTTGCGCACACTGTATCCTCTCTTGCAAGGCCGTTAAAGTGGTGAAGCAATGGGGTGGGGTGGAGTTGGCACTTCATGGATACTAAGAGAGCTGCCATTATTTTATTTTCCTGAAAGAGGCTAGAGAAAAACAGTGGGCTGAAGAAATTTTGACAATACAAGCGGGAGACATGTGGGTGTGGACGGGAGGGAGGCTAATGGAGAATGCAACTGATGGTTATTGGACGGGGTTAGGGACCGACACTAGCCGGATCAAACTTCGCTATCCTCCTATAGTTCTTGCCAGCCTTCTCTGAGATGCCAACAGGGTAGGCATTATAAGTAGTTATCCAAGGGCTCCAAACACAATACTGGCTGGCTTACCGTCTTTTGAAGCCACACATGTTACCATTTAAAACACAGGAGACAGATTATAAAATAAGTCAAAATTCTAAGATGACTAACTGGAATACAGATTCTCTAATCCCAATACCTGATTTTTCTGGACAAAGTACTAGGGACCAGGTGTTATCTTAACTTCCATCCATTTTAACATTAGTATTTCTATTCCAGTTGGAAAGCTCAGAGATGAGTTGGCTTTTATCCTGGCTCTTTTTTCAAATGCTAACCTAGCTGGGGAAATTAAACTTTTCCGTGCTGCTTACTCATTCTCAGATACCAGTGCTGGTGTGATTTTCTCTGTGCACAGTGGTACCCCCCCAAATGCCCTCCTGTTTCCTTTCAGGTTTAATTTTATACAAGGCAGTGTGGTGCCATCAACTTCAGATCCTGGCTACACACGAATGGCAACATTCAATTCTCTGGAATACAGACCGATATATATATATATATATGTGTGTGTGTGTGTGTGTGTGTGTGTGTGTGTGTGTGTGTATACACATACATACATACACACACACACACACACACACAGAGAGAGAGATGGGAGTGTTTCTGAGCCTGTGCAGAATCCACGGGTCCATCGGGCTCAATGTCTCCAGAACAGGCAGCAAACAAGGTTGCCAGGTGGGGGGCGTGGCTTCCACGAAAACAAGCTTGAGCCCCGACATCTTTGAGAAGATGTAGGCATTTTCACCAGCGGCACCCTTTGCATCCGAGCAGCTTCTGAAGAAGCAATTCACTGAAGAGATGCAAGGCGACGGGGAGAAGAGGCTGGCAGCCGATTCCTCCTTTGCAGATCCTGCCTGCCTCGCTTCCCCCCATAACTTGCTTCCAGTCGCTCCTCGCCTCACCCCACCTCTCCTACTCATCCGCGGCACCTCCCCCACCCCGCTCTCTTTCCCTCGCTCGCTCCCTGTTGCAATCTTACCGCGCCACTGGATTTCTTCGAAGCCCGGTCAGCGGGCCCGTCAAGCATGGACCCGAGGCCTCCGAAGCCTCGCCGGCGGCCGCCCCTTCTGGCTCTCCGCGGAGAGGCAGAAACAGAAGGCGCGGAGCTCCCAGTACGGCAACCCTGTCCGGCTTCGACGGTCCTCTGCGTCCCTCCGCCGGAGCTTCTCTGTCCGCCCCCCCCTCCTCCTCCTTTCCCTCTGCGCGCCTCGGCGCTGAGCCTTTGGCACGGAATCGCCTCCCACGCCGCCGGATTTACAATGGAACGGCAGCGGCAGCGGCTCTGAGCTGCTGCCGCGCGTGGGAGGGGTCGTGGGCGGCAGGCAGCTTCTGCCTCGGACCAGAAAAACTGCAACAGCAGCATCAAGCAGCCTTCCCCGCCGAAAGCACCGGGCGGGGGAGGTACAGGGTTTACCGCCCCTCTTCCCTCGCCGCAGCCTCCAGGACGAGGAAGAAGGCAGGGAAAAGAGTAGGGTCCCTGTCACCACCCCACTTTATTGCCCCCAACTTCTTCCGCTCGCCTTCAGCGCGGGCGTTTGGTGCGCCTTGGAAAGAGAAGGTTAAATTGTTCCAGGGACGGACATCAGCGTGTAGCTTTTCTTTGCTACGTTTTGCAAACCTGCGCTTTGGTTTCTGTGGTACGCCCCATCTCGGTGAAACGTGCAGGACGTTCGTGTGCTTTAAAAAAGCTTATTTCCTTCTCAAGCGTCTGTCTGTCGCCGCTTCTCCCGCCTCAGCAGGTTCATAACGCGTGCACGATGTTAGTGTGAGTGTGCTGGCGTGCGTGTATGCAATTGTAAGCGACCTGTCGGTTCGCTCACTTGCCCATGGAAACGTTCGGAGGCCCATGGACGAGCTCGGTGTAGTTTTTTGGTGTACTTATATGGGTGCTGCTTATACCGTGCGGAATAAAGTCCCGGGATTAGAGAAAGTTGCTGAGAAAAATAATACATCCATTCGTTGTAGACATGAGGAGTTCCAAATATGAGGCCCAAATCAGAATATAGTAGCTTGAGTCAATATTTCCCAACCTAGGCAACTTATTACAGACTTCAATTCCCAGAATTCTCAGCAATGGCCATATTTGGCTGAGAAATTCTGGGCGTTGAAGTGCACATATCTGGAAGTTGCCCAGACAGGAAAACACTGGTCTAGAGTACTTTTAAGAGAACGTACAGTAATCACTTCCCAGTCCCTAAGCTGTTTTATGCTGAATTCAGTATCCATTCTACTGAAAGATGCTAGGAGACATGTTAATGTTTCTTTGAAAAGCAGGTAGAGTGCTTTAAAAATCCATTATTTATTGATGTAACATATGCGGGATGGAGAGAACACATCCATATTTTTCCCCTCTGCCAAAAGGTGCAAAAATATTGTCTGGATCAAAAAGCAAGGCTGCTTCCTTTCCAGTAACAGAAGAGGCCTATGTATGCAATTTCCAATCCTCGTTTCCTTAATAGTACACAATCTAACTTTGGTGGAGAAAGATTGCTTATAATTTTTAAATATCAGAAAATGTATTTCTTGATACTAGAGAATCATGCCTGATTATTGATCTTAGCTGCCATATTGGAAACACCAAAAGCCAGCTCATGCTGTTTATTTTATTTATTTAGGGCCTTCAAGTCGGCGTTGACACCTGGCGACTGCCTGGACTAGTCCCTGCAATTTTCTTGGCAAGGTTATTCAGAAGTGGTTTGCCTTTGCCTCCTTCCTGAGGCTGAGAGAGAGGGACTGGCCCAGGGTCCCCCAGCTGGCTTTGTGCCTAAAGCAGGACTAAAACTCATGGTCTCCTGATTTCTAGTTTGGTGCCTTAACCACTACATCAAACTTAGCCACATATAATTCTCTGGGGCTGGCAGCTGTTCAAGACTTCAGAACGGATAGATCTTTCCTATCGCCTTTTTCATTCTTTTAACTTTAAATGACAAATCTGACGGGGTGGGGGCTGGCCCTACTATTAGAGAGAATGAGGCAGGTGTCTGTCATGGCTCATAACTCCACATTGTTCTTCAATATTATTGTACTGCTGTAGACAGGAAGGAGGAATGGTACTTGTGGGATTTTCTGCATCATCTATCAAAATTATTCAAGTGTTATTGGGTACTGTGTACTGTGATTTTGAATGAAAGTTGGGATGGAGGTGCCCTTAGCTATTTTAAGCAGATAGTAAACGTTGTGAACAACTTGCCCTTCTTGTTTATTCAATTACCAGTTGTACTGTTTCCCAACTGCTATACCAGTAATGCCAAATTTCTTTACCTGCTAAAAATTTTTGAAACGCTTTGGCTCACAGCCTGTCCAATTAGATATTTTTAAAAATCTGAATCATTTTAGAGCTTGCCAGTTTTCTGAAACAAAAAGCAAACATATTTGTTCATCTCAGATATATCTTGAAAAGCAGTACTGTATAGAAATGCTCTTATAAATTAATGTACACATTCCTTCTCACTCCATACTGTCAAAACCCAACCATGATTTTGCATTGCCCATCCATCTAATGCTGAAGAACTCCCAGTTCCTTACAATCCTAAATTTCTACTTTCCTTTGCAGCTGGGATTAGTTTATAGGTTTATTTTTGGATCCTCTTTGTGATACAGGAAACATCACTGTGGGGTTTGCAGTAACGGAAGTTCCATTCCTTTCTCTGCCACCCATGTACTGTGCCTCCCCCCACCCACACACACGCACTTCTGCTCCTTCTGATAGCAGTGTCCAATCTGTTACAGGTCTCTTGGCTCCTCAGCAACAGAGCCATTCTCTGCATGCAAAGGAAGATGTGGGCAGCGAGCTTGCTCTGCGGAGGTGGGGTCCTTTGACCAACTTTAGCTACTGAGAAAAGATTTCTATTCAGAGGCCTGAGCATTAATATACAATTCCCACTAAGTGGCCTCTCACAGGGCTCCTGGCAGCATTTTCTCAAGGAAGGGGGGGAATTCCAAGCCCTGAAGCTCTCCATGGCCAACCGCAGGCCCAGGCTGTTTGAGCTTGGCATCCCCTAAATTGTGCTTGAATCCCAGCTTGTCTCCAAAACTCCACTCACACAGAAGAGGACGCATCAGGGTAAGGGACAGTGCTGGCTGCAGGGCACGATTTCAGTCCCTGCTTTGCAGCCCTTTATGTACATAGCTGGAATAACAAATTTAATAAACAAATAAAGCTGCACTGAAAACAAAAGTTTGAGTAAACATGCATAAGATTGGAATGAATGAGTATACATCCCATACAAACCATGGGTTTAATCATTGCTTATTAAGCCACAATAGGGTGGGTGTGTACAATATGGCTTGTAAATCACAATTTAAGGTTTAGCATAAGAGCTGGAATTGCAGCCTAAATCAATGAAATTATATTGCTGTGTATCATAATGTACACACACAAGCTATCATTTGGTGGTGGTATGAACTGGTGCTACCGCTAGTGACCAGAGCTTCAGAGATCACTCTGGGGTGAGAACCAAGATCGGTAGCTAGCTTACTTTCTTCTTCCTTACCTATTCCACGACGTTTTACTTTGCAATTGGACACACAACGATGGGGTGCTGGCAGTAGCATATTCATATTTCCAGCAGCGCTGTTTCTTTAAAGACAAGCAGTGATGATAGGAACAATGGTGAGGGGAAGGCTTGTTTAATCAATTTGCCTTAGAGCCAGCAAGTAACACACTTGGCAAGTGAATTCTTATAGAATACGAGAGCAATACTACTGGACTATTCTGCAAGATAAAATTACAACTGCAGTATAGTTTCCCATCCAGCCGATGAGGGCCCTTCTTTCACTTTTATGAAACAAGATTTGAAATGGGGGGCGTGACCCGAGTTAAAATTTCCTTCGGAGAAGCAACAGGGATGCGATGTTGCATAAATACTGCAAAGATCTTCATATCAACTGCGAGGGACAACTGTCCCCACTCTCTTGAAAACGCGAGCTCATCTACCTTTCAAAAAAAAAGAAGGCAAGAAAACCAATCTAGAAGCAAAAAGCACTTTCCTTTCGCTTGCCAACCCACGGCCCTCCCGGCGCACCACCCCCACTCCTGTGGTCGGTCTTGCCTCCACGTGTCGGCCTCCCCCGCGCGGGACTGACGCACGTCCTGCCGCCCACGCGGGCAATGGCGCGCAACGCGTTCTGCTCGCGGGGCTTGCTTGGAAGGCGCGCGCCCACGCCCGGCCTCTTGCTGTCCCTCCAGGCGCTAATAGGAAAGGAGGGGCGGAAAGAGAAGGGAGAGTAACAATTATCGGGCACAAAATAGAATGGATCTTTCTTCCTCCCCCCGGCCCCCCTCGAGAAATAGCCCTACTCAGGGAAGAATAAAGCGAGGAAGTCGAAATCCGCTTAGAGCTTCTGCCCTTTTGTCAGGGCTTTGGCGACCCCGCGCTCTCCGCCCAGGATTTTTCAGCGGGGCGCCTGAGGAATGGAACCTTCGCCTTCCCCAACCTGGCGCCCTCCAAATGTATTCTGCTACAACTGCAATGTATCCCAAACGTGTGGCCTGGCTGGGAATTACTGTAGTCTTAGTCAAACGCATCTCGAGGACTGCCTACCTTCTCCCTGAAGATTCATCATTAGGGACTTAGCTTTCAAGAGCAGGGTGACAGGGTGGGTATGTTCCCCTCTGTTCACCTATCTGTTTACAACAGTACTGTGATGGATTCTGGAATTCTTTTCTCAGCTCTAGTTAGAGAAGCAGTGCTTGGTAGTTGGAGCCCAGGTCGGCTGTGGGTTTTTTTGGTTGCTTATTTGTTTTGTAGGAGATGGCGTAATGCAGATTAATTAGACATTACCAAGACTGGCAATGGAGTAGCTAATGTTTCCCATTATTTGTAAAGGTAGCCAATAGTTAAGGACGCAGTAGCTGAGTGCAGAAAGAAGGGAGTGGTAGGGAGTGGAATCTAAAGTTTCTGAGAATAGGATAAGTGCTATTAGTATAATCCCCATAATTAAGACACTTATATTACAATCTCATGCTTCCTTTGAAGTCCATTAAACTCAGTGAAATTTACTTCTAGCTAAACAAATACCAACTTTTGAGTTGTTAGCCTAATTTTAACACAGGCAATAACTGTTCTTGATAATGAAGACATCAAAGTGGTAGATAGCTTTTGCCTTTTAAGATCAACTGTCAACAGTAAAGGAACACGCAGTCAAGAAATACAACACATACTAGTACTTGATAGAGTAGCCATGAAGGTCTTAGAAAAGATGTGATGTCTCTAGACCTACGAAGATCAGAATAGTGCAAGCCATTCCCTGTAACACTCTATGGAAGCAAAAGTTGAAGAAGCAGGATAAGACCAGTATTTATCTTTCGATCTTTGGTGTTGGAGACTTCTGAGAATACCATGGACAGCCAAGAAAACAAACAAATGGATCATAGGACAAATCAACCCAAAGTCATCACTCAAGGCACAAATGACCAGGCTCAAATTATCCTACTTTAGAAATATGCGAAGACCCAGCTCTCTGGAGAAGGCTCTAATGCTGGGAATGATGGAAGGAAAAAGAAGAGGATCATCAGCAGTAAGGTGGATGGACTGAGTTACAGTGGCGATGAGTGCGCCATTGGAAGACTTGAAAGAACAGCTTAGGGATAGATCATCATGGAGAATAATCTGTTATGTGGTCCATAAGAGTGGACAACAACTTGATGGCACACAGTCAATTAAAAAATTGATTGTTCTCCCAGTTTCATTGACTAGCTCTCTAGGTAATGCCTGGAGGCGCTT